CTCAGGGGGTACCGGAAGCTCTGCTTAACTGGCCTATCAGTTTCCCGCTGTTGAATGGACTTTTTTCCGGAGGTTGTGCTCAGTTCAAGATTTCTGTCTGAATGGGAGGTGTTGAAATGGGTCAGATTTAGATCTGATCAGTAACTAACCTAAACAGGGGAGAGATACTTTAGTTTTATACGTTTCATACAGCTTCCCTTTCCTGTTTACCATCCACTACGCTTTTATTAGTCGTTCTAGCCAGTTTGCGAAAGAATAAGAGAAAAATAAAAACGAGTATAACGCTCGGAATAAATTCGATTGAAGCCATTTAAGCTACCAGGGGATGCCTATTATGTAGCCGTAATACCCGAGAATTTTCCTAGTCCACTCGAATAAAATTGCACCTATTGGACAATTTTTGCTTTGTCAAGGACTCCACACTACATCTTTACTTGACATTAGTTGGCATTTTCTTATCCCACCCTCATATCAAACTACATGAAACCTAATGCATTTTAATTTAGTTCACATTCCAGTCACCTCTCTCTTAGCATAAACCCTACCTCTATTCAAACTTCCCACCTCCCTCCAACTCCCCCATTTCTCATCCAATTTCCCTGCAACCAACGGCAATCAATTTCCCGCCCCCAACTCACCCCACATTTCCACTTTTCTCCTCTCCACCACCTCCCCATCACCCAAACATCGCGACACGCACGCCACGCACCACATCACGCGTTTCCATTAAACCTTACGCGTACACTGCACTGCACATCACTCTCCACCACACAACACACACAACACTTTTGCCACCGTACCATGCGACGAAACAAAGCTCCCAGTCAAATCCGAGAGCACGGGTTGCCGTCTGAAAGCAACAAGGACCCCCTTGCGACCCTCCACAAGCCGTTCAAGCGTCCTGCTCCTTCTACAGGCTCGTATAACTCCAACTGGCAGCCTTCTAGACGTGCTAGAACTGCGGTAAATTACACAGAAGGCGATCCGGACGCTGCGGTGTACCGTTCGGACGAGAAACCCGCAGTTCCCGTTGTCCGCAGAGATCCACTGGCTGTTTTGAACCAGAATTTCCGCGTTCCGTTCAAAAACAGAAACAACGATTTTGTCGAGTCGTTTCCGGCTCTAGGAATGCGCAAACCGGTGGATTTTGTGCCCCGACCGTTACATGACCCTGCGGGCGAATTTGCGATTGTTTTGTACGATCCTACGGTCGATGGCGTCAAAAATACGGTCACGGAAGAGGATATTCAAAGTGCCACAGAAAGAACTTTGTCGCAGTCAGAAACAGACGTGGAGACTGTGGAAGAGATGACCACACGGCCCAAGAAACTCACTCTGGCTGAAATCCTCGGAATCGTGCCTAGAGACCAACAGAAACCAAAAGAGCATCCTGAGGTGCCTGTGGTGATAGATCCCAAGCTGTCCAAGATTCTGAGACCGCATCAGGTCGAGGGAGTCAAGTTTCTGTACCGTGCTACGACGGGACTTATCAATCCCAAAGCTCACGGCTGTATTATGGCTGATGAAATGGGTCTAGGTAAGACTCTACAGTGCATTGCTCTACTATGGACTCTTTTGAAACAGAGTCCTCAGGGTAAGGGCACCATTTCCAAAGCCATTGTCGTGTGTCCCAGTTCTCTTGTTCGAAACTGGGCTGCCGAGTTTGTCAAGTGGCTGGGAGAAGGAGTGGTTGTTCCTTATGCTGTAGACGGTTCTCAGAAACCAGGAGAACTAGCAGCAGGTTTGAGACAATGGGCCGAAGCTGAGGGACGAAAAGTGACGCGTCCGGTGCTCATTATTTCGTACGACACGCTGCGAAGACAAGTAGGAGCTATTGCTGACTCTGAAGTGGGTCTTTTACTTGCTGATGAAGGTCATAAACTCAAGAACGGCGAGTCTCAGACGTTTACGGCTCTGAATCAGCTTAATGTGAAGAGAAGAGTCATTCTCTCTGGTACTCCGATCCAGAATGATCTCCTGGAGTACTTTTCGCTGCTCAATTTCTCCAACCCTGGTCTTCTGGGCACCAAAGGCGAGTTTAGAAAAAACTACGAGATTCCCATTCTCAAGGGACGAGACGCTGACGGTACAGACAAGGACGTGGAAGTCGCAGAAGCCAAGCTGCTGGAAATGGCGTCCATTGTGTCTCCTTTGATTATCAGACGAACAAACGACATTCTCAGCAAGTACCTGCCTGTCAAGTACGAACACGTTGTTTTCTGCAACCTGGCACCCTTCCAGAAGGATCTGTACGTGCAGTTTCGAACCTCCAAGGAAGCCAGATCTCTTCTCAAGGGCGAAAAAAGCAGTGAAGGAACCACTACTCTCAAAGCTATTGGTATTTTGAAAAAGCTGTGTAACCATCCAGACTTGCTCAAACTGCCTGACGCCATTGAGGGCTGCCGAAAGGTGTTTCCGGATGATTATGCACCACCAGAAGAACGAGGATCTCGAGACCGGGAAATTTATCCGCATTTTTCTGCCAAATTTCTCATTCTCGAGCGAATGCTGAGAAGTATCAACTCCGAGACTAACGACAAAATCGTCATCATTTCCAACTACACGGCTACTCTCGATTTGATTGAAAAAATGTGTCGTCAGAGAAGATACGGATGTCTACGGCTAGATGGAACTATGAACATCAACAAACGAGCCAAGTTGGTGACCCAGTTCAACGACCCTGAAGGAAGCGAATTCATCTTTTTGCTGTCGTCAAAGGCTGGAGGATGTGGTCTTAACCTCATTGGAGCAAACAGACTCATTCTCATGGACCCAGACTGGAATCCTGCAGCTGACCAACAGGCTCTGGCTCGAGTGTGGAGAGACGGGCAGAAGAAGGACTGTTTTGTGTACAGACTGATTGCAACTGGAACGATTGAAGAAAAGATTTTCCAGCGTCAGTCGATGAAACAGTCGCTGTCTACATGTGTCGTGGACGAGGTTCAGGATGTGGAACGGCATTACTCCATGTCCAACCTCAGAGAGCTGTTTTCGTATGATGAAAACACGCCCTGTAACACCCACGATATCTACGAATGTAAACGGTGCAAGGGAGGAAAACAGTACCAGAGAGCTCCAGCCATGTTGTATGGAGACGCCACGACCTGGAACCATTACTACAAGGGCACCATGGGCAAGATTGAAGATTTGCTGCTGAGACAGGAGGAGGAGTTTGATGACGTCAGTTTTGTTTTCCAGTACATTTCTCATTAAGGAGAGGAGTGAGCATAGGACACAGTCCGATTATATATTGAATAGATTATTTATGGGTAATGGATTTGACGGTGTTACTCTTGATGGTAGTTCAAACAAATATTACTATTCACAGATTTGAGGCGCTCACTATAGTGAAATATCTCTATAGAAAATAACCAGATTTCAAATCTGACTAGATAAATGGGTCTATAGTCGATTAATCATTGGGTATCTCTCTTTTCTCATCTCTACCGTTAGTATTCACGAAATGAAATGCCGTAACTCTTCTCTCCCATGATCCGAGTGCATTTTGTAGAACGGATACAATTTGTAAAATAATGATCAGAATTCAGTCTGGACTTGAAAGATGTGTTTGGACTAGGTCGGTCTATCCATTGATTCTTTTTTGTGACCGATATACACAGTTATAAGCAATATTTATCCATGTTAATTAACATATCTTTTTTTGTTGTCTTCAGAACTACAGGACTAAAACACGTTAAAAAGAGGTTTATACCCCGAGCTATAGATGGAGATGTAGCTCATGGCCTGCTCATCTCAACAATCAATTCAGAACATCTCCATCACCAAAATTCCGTTTTGTTTCTCCTATCATCTTGTTTTTCAAACACTGATCTTCTTCATACTTGGTGTATCCGGTAATATTACAAATGCCACACAGATGTAGGCTTTATATTTTGAACCAGTATAGTCTTGTTTCTAACACCCCGAAGTTTCACGTCTTTCTCGCCTGTTTCAGGAGGAATATGAGAGGATGTTAGAATCTGCCAAGAAAATACGTAGGTGCTAGAATCTTCCAAAAGGTAGCTGGAAATATATGAAAGGTAGCCCCGAAATCTCCCTGATCCGAGGAATACACTGGCCAAGTCGGCTTAGCTACACGGGTATTATTGATAAAGTTAGCTCCAGTTCTGAAGTCGAGTAGATGTGAGGGCGATAAGATAAAAGCTGGAATGTTGTAATATGAAGAAGGTAGATGGCTCCAGTAGGATCCCCTCGGTCCTGGTCACACACTGGTCAAGTTGCCTTGGCTATGAGAGTATTTCTGAGGAAGTTAGGTCGAGCTGTATAGTTAGGTAGAATTGGAAGTTGAAGTGTAAAAAGTGAGTGTGGGATGATACGCTAGACGTTCATGGTATCGTTAAAATCAGTGAGCGCTGGAAAGTACGCTTGTCAAGTCTGCTTGGCTATGTCGGTATTTTTAGAAGGACTATGGCAGTTATGTTTAGAGCATAGCTATGAGCACAGATGTTGGAATCTGTAGAGAGGTAGAGGCGGAGTCATGAATGGTACTAGGCTAGTCTTATAGCTGTTTGGGTCCAATGAGCAAATTGACTTGACGTTGTAGGTATTTTCGAAAGATTTAGGGGGAGTCGTGTGAACAGGGTGATCTGAGGTATGGAGATTAAAAATAGTACAGATGCAGTTATAGAGATGTTCAAGGTACCAGCAGGTTCATTAGACCTGTAGGAGTCTATTCAACAATTCCACTTTACTGTGTCGGTATTTCTGGAGTTGTTGGACTCACTTGTGTATTGACACCCGTCTTCAAGATTTTCGAAATCGAGCATAAAATAAACGAATAATTATTCAAATTGAAATATGAAAGAAGCAGTGTACTCTTTGGAACTTCGGGTTTCCCCTACACCCTTTCAAAAACAACTCTTATCATTTCTCTCCCTGTTTTCACCAACATTCCACCTCTCTCGCTTACTAAGAAACGCAATGATACCAACCAGACAAGAAAAGCACATACGAAAAAGATATGCCCCGTTCGGGACAGCTGCCATCACCCAGAATCGAACTGAGGTTTCCACGGTACTGTTGCGACGAAGCAAGCTCCACAACGTGGTGTACTAACCACTATACTATGATGGCTGAGGGTTGGGGTTGGGGGTGGAAATGTGGTATTTGTGAGTGAAAAAATCGCTTATTTTCGGCGTCAAATTCTTTCAGAGCGTTTCCAGTTTCATATAGACAGCTTGAAACGTCCATGAGTATTTTTATAGATTTTTCCTCATTTTTCAAACACCTGTACAGGAACAGTGAAGTTAACATATTTACTTTTTCTGCCCTCAAAAGAAATAAGTGGGGGTCATGAGTTAAATTTAACCAGTATAAACACTCTCGGCTCTTATTGGAACCCCTTTACCCACGCTTCTATCTTTTCTGGTTTATCTACGGCTTCAAAACAAAGAAGAGGATTCGGCTCACTTCAAAACAAGAGTTTTGGAGCTCAGAAAGCTACAAGTGGTATAACAGCTAGTTATTGCACGATCACTAATGTCCCTAATTTCCCCCACCCACATTCTCAGACTTGTCTGACCTCTTGTTATGGTAAGATCTACATTTCTGTTTTCTCCACCTCGCGTTTGAAACTCGGCCAACTTCGGCTATTTTTACATTCAAGACACAGGGAGTGGCTTAGTATGATTATCATATCTCCGGATCTCTAATTTTCAACTCCTAGATCTATTGTTACATCTCTACGTTTAATTCCGGGCTGTATACTGCTGTTGTCCTTGGTGTCTAAACGTCACGCAGTTCGTTGTGCAGTTATCTGAGAGATATGTAATTTTCCTGGCTACGTGTCTGGGTGTCACTTATCATCTTTTCTTAGTCGTCTTGTCTCTCTTAATTTTTCTTGGCTCGATATACACATTCTCATTACGTGGGCTTCTTCACATCAATGTAACTGTCTCCAACTCTCCTAAACAACATCAAACTCATTCCTGAAATAGATAATCTCGTATATATTTCCGATAATAACCCCCTTACTAACCCCCCTGATCGCCATAAGTTTTTTAAAAGAAGTTGCAACATCTTCATTTCTGCACTGCCCAACACTGTAGCTATTAAAATGCCACAGTAATACATAGAACTTTGTGTCTCGTAAACTAACCGAGATGGCTGGCTAAAAAGCAAGTCCCTGCACCGCCGCTTCGGCTACCGACCTCTGAGTCTGCTTCTATTGCTTCTATGACTTCCCTATACGTCTATGCGGCTAAGCGGCTTGTCAAAACTGGTAGGTAAACTTCAGGAAGAGAAAAAGGGCCGATCAGGAGAATGTGGTGATAATATTGAGACGGTGAATCACCGAAACATGTATCTGTCGGTTTTACCACGTTTTTTATCTCTCTTTTGGTACCACCACTCTAAATGGAAGTTCTGGTATTTTGTCTGTATCTCCTTCAATATCCCCACGGCACATTTGTAACCTGCTGTAATAGATTTGTCAAGCTTGCCTCATCACTTTGATACCAATAAACACCAAATGCCGCCTTCCTAGGGCACTTCGGCTAAGTAAGGTACTGCAGCATTTGTAAGACGGCATTTGTATACGCATAAAATACGGCTTATGAACGGAAGCAAAGACGGAGGCTACTGAAAAAGTCAATAACCGGAGGTGGGTGTCTCTAGGCTTACCCTCATTTGTCTCCCATGTATTTTTGAGATGATTATACAACTCTGAAAAGACTCTTTATGGATACACATACAGGATATCTATTATTTGGACAAAAAAAGGTCAAATCTCACCCAAGAGTTCGAAATATGGCCAGCTCTGGAACATTCAACACCCTCCTTCAAGCTCGTTTCTTTGCCGTCTACTTTCATGCACAGTCGGTCATAATAGTGAAGTTATGATAATGGCCATTTATGAAGCAGCAATGCAAGGGTAGAGAGTTGGTGAAGGGTTTAAGGTGTCCGATTGATAGTGGACGGCCCATTGAGGACGAAATCAGATTTCAAATCGCTTTATAATGGTCCAACATTAGTTTATTGTGTGAGTGAGACTTAGTCAATGAGATATCTTTAAAACGGTGAGCAAAAGAAGCAAAGGAGGAAGAAGAAAAGAAAGATCAACGTGTATATTCACACGCAGAGTTCGCGATCTCGCCCAAAGGAGTCGTGTCTTGGTCTTATTCGTTTCACACCTCGTCTAAACAGATGTCTCTAAATGGTAAACAATGTGAGCTGTTGTTGAAATATTAACCACTAGTACTTATTGAAACAGATTGGATTTGTAAGACAACACGGCTTGGCGACCCGGGTTGGTACGGCTTGGCAAAACGGCTTATTGAGACTTCTACACGTGTTTGGTTCGAGTTGAGATACCGATACAAATCTCTACACTCCAAATTGAAGTGAAATAGTTTCAGAAAAAGCTGTTAGAAGTCTCCAAATGTCTCCAGGAGATGTCTCCAACCACTGTGAAGTATTAAACCTCTTTTACTTCACCCAAATCACCCCCCTACTTCTTTTAAACTACTTATCCTCCTTCTTCTATTACCTCTAACCACTATTTATCAACTCCCTCCTAACAGCCCACAAACCAAAACAAAGACCCAGCTCCCTTACTCTACGGAAAGTCACATGTCTTTACAGACCCAGCATTCTTCATCTACTGAAACTAACGGATCAGGGTGGCCTCATTCCTTTTCCCACTAGACCAACGTCTCGAGCTCTAAACAGGGGTAACGAGACCCGTGGTGCTAGCGGGCTATTTGTGAAACCTTTCCTGCGCGTCTGACCATGCTGTAAGTTGACTTTCCGTTCTAGTTGGACATTTATTGGCTGTTTTGGAGATTGTCGATCGACGCAAGGGATGAAAAGACAGGGGTGGATATTTGGGTCAGTACGTATGTTAGAGGAAATATTACGGTACCAGGGTTATCCTCAGACGACGCTGAATATTACAACATTTTTGTTTCTGTTTTTCTGATTTTTCTCCACATTTCTACCCATTTTCCAAAAACCTCCCTCCCTGATGACCAGGAACAAAACCTACGCTGATCCAAACAATAGTCGTTTAAATTCGATCTAAACCGTAACCATGCAGACAATACCGATCATCAGCAGACAACCGCTATGGTAATATTGAGTGTGAAACACTCAATATAGAGTAGAGGTAACAAACTTGGCAATAGCTTCAGAATGTCACACAAGGAACAGTACGTTAGTACTGGTGCTTGTCGAGAGGAAGTAGTAAGTAGGTTGTAGGCAACTAGGACCTTGGTCCTAGTGCAATAAGTCGTTGTTGAGAGAGCTCGAAGAGCTGTCGACAGACTGGTTGTTTTCCTCTGGAAACACAAGTACTAAAATCGATGCATTACAAATATGGGAGAGAAGGGAACTATATACTTGGGACACAAACAAGTTGGGGCTTTGCCCCAACTGACGGGTCATGTGGATACAAGCACAAAAGTGCTTATGAGGCAAACTTGAGATTGATGCATCATGCATCAATCTACAAAGACAAGTGCATGGCTGACGTAAGCACTTTAGTGCACTGCGTGCACTACGTAGCCGGGAGTGTTGGTGCACGTCTGCACCAACTCTCGCAGGTGGTCACCTGACATGAGAACTCTACTTTGGGTTGAGGGCTCATAACCGCTTTGGGTTTGGTTTTATGCACTCATATGTTGCAACCCGAACATCTTTATATTTCGCGATATACACTAAGTAGAGACATGGGGTGAGTTTTATGATAGATATCCTAGCGTGAATAGTGGCCAGACAAATTTTCAACTCTTCTTGGGTCGTATTTCAGCCTCTACAAAGGTCTATCTCCCCATTCCCAAATCTACGCAGACTCAAATATATGCTCTAAATACATAACAATAGCCAAACAATGGCGGCCTAGAAAAAACCGTGCATTGCAGGTATGATTAGAGACGTTCACACCGTTCATTGGATATATGGACAAAGGGGTAGGAGGCTGATAGAGTTGAGAGAAGCTGATTCGAAGACAGATAGAAGAGTTTCGAGCGTTGGTATCTGCATTCCAAGCCGGGGGTTTTGGGCGGTATTCTTGGCGCTGTTTCTTTGTCTTAAAAAGTGTTTTATTTCTTTTTTGAACGTGTTTTTGGACGTTTATTTATGAATGTGTTCTTCGTTCATTTACCGTGTTTTTTAGAATCTATTGTCTGTCTGTCCTATTGCTGTTATTGGATATTGTCCTGTATAATGCCAGATTCGGTATAACAAGGCAACAATAGTAATAGCCGTGAGTTAGGAGTTTCCATATATAACGAGTTTAGTATTATTAGCCGGGTGGAGATACTATGAGATTACAAGTACAAATGAAACAACCACTGCAGTTCTATAGCTTACATAATTCAATACAATTCAGGAAGTCTTATCTACAACTCATAACCCCTTTGCTGAGCTTACATACCGCGCTGTAACCAGACAGCTTACACAACCGTATACAGCGTGTTCCTGGGAGTCACGCGATGACCCTGCCGTTGCAGCGGCTTTTTCAGACTCAAAAAAGCACCGTTTTGACCCAAACTGCCGTTCCTCAACGTTACTATCTCCGACAACTCTCACCAGACACTCTGAAAACCTCATACGACTGTCTCGGAGGTTTCCTGGGGGTAGAGGGAGAGGACTAATGCAGACGGGACGTTGAAAATTGCATATTGGATGCAGTAGTATTGAAAAGTAGCAATCTCCGGAGAAGAGAGATATTGGGTGGTAAAACAGCGCACGTGACAGGAAACGACGTGGAAAGTAAACAGTCATATTCTCTGAATCTGTAGCTTTCTAATGAACTACTTCCCAAAACCACATGATCTTTTTTCCCCTGTTTTACTCCTGTTTCAACCTACACCCTGATACTCCACGCAGATCAGTCAGTCTGTAGGCCCGAAAAATGCTACAGCTGCTGCAGAAACTTGGCACTCGTTTTCACGCAATGCAACTCGTATCTACCATGTACTCGTGTGCCCCTTGCTCCTTCGAAGATAAAAAGCTTTCGGATATAGGTATGGTCAAACTTTGAATTTTGGGAGAACTTGAATAACTGGACGAGAAAAGGAGGTGAAGCTCTGAAAGTTGGTGTACGTATTCTACCCGTCTTTGTAATCACTCTG